TTTCTGTTGTGGGGTCCAGTGCCAGCATGAAAATGTGTCAATTATTTTAAATTATATGAATGACAAAAGAGAATAAAGAAATTAACATACTTTATAAAAATACAGCTCTATTTTTTTAAAGTTCACAGATATCTCTTTTATTTCTGTGAATGTGATAGAATTTACATCTATTATCATCTATGTTTAAAAATGTGGCCTTTTTATTGAATAACTTGTGAATACTATCTGGGGCTAAGTAATTAAACGCTATATTAACGACATTGCTTCATATAAAAAGACATTTTCAAGCTTAGAAAATGGGTTTCTAGTTTTAATTAAAGTAAAAGAATTTCTGGCTTAAGATGAGATGTGTAACATTCGTAAAACATTTTCGGTTTTAATGAATTTGTAATAGGTTCGTTCGGGTTGGTTTGTACTCTATGGCGTTTGGGTTTGGTCGTCAGTAGGGTTGGGTCAGCAGAGTTCGAGTTTGGTTCGATTCCCATCTCTACTTGGAAGCCGTGTCAGAAGAGATGCGACACGTGGGGAAGGATAAAGAATAATTGTGCATTGTTCTGCGCAAATGCAAATTTGACCATGCTAAAACACTTCTGAGAGAGCTGCATTGGCTGCTGCTCCGCGCTCGCATAGAGTTCAAAATTGCAACTCTGTGCTACCGCTGCTTGCATGACCTGGCACCATCCTATCTCAAAGCACTCATGACGCCTTATTTACCGATTATCCGATAGTGGCAAACTCTGGATACCGCATGTCCGCCTTGAGACCTACGGAAGGAGCACTTTCGCTTTTGCTGGCCCAAGAATCTGGAACGCCCTTCCCTTCCTCTCAGAAACAGCCAGACACTGCACTCTTTCAAAACCAAGTTGAAAACACATCTTTTTTGCACTCACCTGTTGTGGTGATGTAGTCTACCTCCTAGTTTCCAGCTTGCTCATATTCCTCGATATAGATTTTTTATTGTCGCGTTTTGTATTTTATTTGTGGAAAACATATATGGGGTTGACTTTGTATACTCCGCTTTGAGCCTTAATTAGGGATGAAGCGTGTTTTTTAAATGATCTTTATTATTATTATTATTATATTTTTCTGTAGTAGCGCTTTAGGCATGTACCACAGTTATTTATGGGTGGTCCAGTTACTGGCCTTAATATAATTTGAACTGCTCCTTGATATTTTCTTATGTCTAGTACGTCTGATCCATGCCTCCGATCGAATTTGGTTATGAATGATTCCATCTGGTGAGTTCCAAGTAACTTTATTTTTGTATTGGAAACTTGGTGCTGCTGTCATTCCTTTTCCTGAAGTAAAGTCTATGAGTCGCATCCCCATGTCACTGGATTCTTCATGTAGTTGTCTTAAGTTGTCATCAACACTTTTTCTTTCCTTACTTTGGCTTTAAAGTCGCCAATCACTATCTTGATATGTCGTGGTGCCTCATCATTGACCTTTTCCAGCGTCACATAAATGTATTCTTTTATCTGACCTGTATCTTTGGTGGGAACATCAAATATTATGTTAAACATTTTCCCTTACAACACCAACAAAGAACGCAATCTTTCATTCTCTTGTTTAAGACCTATGACTGCTGTTGTTAGCTTTGGTTACAACCGTCTGGCGAGCTGCCCTTACATCTCTCTAGGCAGCTGTCTTTATTTTCGGGTAAGGTTCCCTAGGCTTTGTGGGTCCCTCCGCATCCGACAAGGCAATAGGCTCTGGCTTGGTCTGCCCAGGTATTTGTTTCCCCGGTACCTGCCACATCGTGTGGGCTTTCCCCTATCCTCCACCCGGGGGGGAGGGGGGCTCTTGATGGAAGATACGTATCTGCACGAGAGGCTACTGAATTCTGTTGCAAACAATCCGTAGGTGGTAGTGAAGTGTGAAGGGGTAGTCCCCCCCCCCCGGTCGGAAACTTTTTCTTCATATGGAGGGGTGGCATTTTAGGCCAACTGCAGAGGTTGTTTCAGGCAAGGGGGTGGCAAAATGCTAGGCAGGCCTACTGGTATAGATTACTTTGGGGGTGTCCATTAATTACGTCAACAAAATAGGGGGGGGGGGGGTGGGTGGTGGAAATATTTGACAGTTGTTGACGAGGGGGGGGGAGGGGAGTTTAGATTAGTTGACGTCAACAATCTTGTTTTCTTAATTAAAATTTTAATCTAAAAAATTGACTTGTTAAATTATTTTTAAAAATTAATAAATGTAAATGAGTGTCAAGGGTTATATAATTTTTAGGCTTTAACAATATACAATTTATTTACGTGTGTCTGCGCACTGGTGCAGATGGCTGGTCAAAATGTTAGCACGTTTGTTAGTGCAAGAGAAGTCAAAATTTGGCCCCTCTTCACAGGTAGATTGTGTTGCATGTATGCGACAAGGTTCAAGTGCAGTCAAGATAAATGATATTGATCGAGTAGAAATAAGATATAATAAAAATGTAGCTGTTTACGGATTTTTTGCGTGTGCTGTTTTGTCTAAATTTAATGCTAGATTTGCTCTCTATATTTCTTTGGTGCCCCCTTTCCCCTGATGCCCTAAGCACGTGTTTATATTTCTTAATCATACTGAAAGGCTAATCCGGCCCTGGGTGTAGGCATGTGTAGGCATTATCATATGATATGACAGGCTCCTACGAGCTCTCGAAATGGGCTTCTTCTTCTTCTATATCTTAAGGGCCCACGATCAATTTATTGATCATTTTGGCTCCTATGCATGTAGATGGGACCTGTGTTCTTTTGAACACTGCGTGGTAAATACATGTTGTAAAGTTTTTAATAATTAATACGTTGTTGTTTTTAAAAGTCAAGATCACGTTTCATCCTACAACTCGTATTATACTCGTTTATAGTTGGAGCTATAATTTAGTATAATATAACTTCATATAACTTATTTAATCATGGTGACCCCCTTTCCCCATTTTGTTCCTGGGTCCGTAAAGTATGTCTTAAATGGAATGATTTCATGGGGAAAATTGTCGGACCATTCTTGAACATTTGATGTAATGTTAATTTGCGAAAAGGTTACAATATGAGTAACAACCTCATTTTGTAGGTAAGATCAAAATTTCCAAGTGACGCTAAGTAAAGGTCGATAATCGAATGTCATTGCTATGCCAGATTGAAGTGACTAAAATGTTATTTTATTATCACTCAAAGTTGGAAGCATAAATATTTAAGTTTAATACAGAAACATAATTTTATTATTTAAACTCTAACGCGTGTGCAATAAGCATAGATAAACGCACTTTGCCTTTTAATCGTCCAATAACTGTAAATTAAATATTTTGTTTAGATATTTTCTTCGAAAGCAAAAGACTGGCCATGTTGAAATCGGGAGCAACTAACAAAACAACTACCTTCCCAAAATTTGGTTATTTTTTCAGCCGAATTTCCTTTATTGAAGTTGTATATTGTACCAAAAGCATACTGTATAGTTGACATATAAAAACCAGAATAAAAGCACTTTCTTCTGCAGGTATTGACTTTTGAAGTTATTTCATTCAGCCCCCACTTGTTTAAAACTGTAAAATACCACTGACCACTGTTGTTGATGATTGAGACCGACTCTCCTTGCCTTAAACTGCTGGCTTTGACATGAAACAGTATGTGGGCATGGTCACTTTCGAACATTTCGTTTTAATCATTATCAACACGTGGAACAGATATACCTTAGATGAGACATAGTGCTAAGAGAGAGGGGGGGGGGGTGGTTTTTTATTTTCCTGTCAATAGCCCAACTGACTAAGAATACTAAGATTGAAGTGTCTTTTATTTTATTTAATAGGCAGCTAGGCTAAAAACTGCTCCTGCAAAAAAAAAAAACACTACTCACCATTTCTTTCCACACAGTCAGTATTTCAAATTTAAATAAATGCAACAATTTCTATATCAATTTAAAAGAAAAGTTTGGGTGAAACTTTGGGTCAGAAATCATTAGAAATAATTGTTGCTAATTAGTGTTTGTTCAGGTCTTACCCATTTGCTGCGGGCAGTTACAGGGAGTAGTCTGTGTACTTACAGGCTTTACTTTATGGTTAAGGTGGAAATTTTTTGAGGTGTGATCCATTTGTACAGGGTATAAGAAAACATTTGTAAGAAAGGAAGTAAACATTTTCTATTTAATTATCAATAAGATTAAAAGTGGAGAATGATATTCTACACATGAAGGCACTTTTGTTAAAGACTCTCTTTTTTAATATCGGTAAACTAAAGTATTACTGTCATCTTTTTTTCATGCTACTGATCCCAAATTTATCTGCACATATTAACAATCAACTTACATATTTTTTCAATTATTTGTAGATTGAATATCATCTTCTTGTCTTTCTTCAGATTATGTAATTATAATAATCTTAAATATTTTCAGGTGCTGTTGAATAGTGCAGTCTAAAATTATGAAGAGGAAAGCATCTAGATCCCCAGGCTATGAGCAGCCAGCCAAGCTCAGCAAAAAATCAACAAATGCTAATGTTGATAACACTATTCAGCTATCAAGGGAAAAAACAGTCCAGAAACCTGCATTTGAACCCCTCAGATTAGCTTCTTTCAGACAGAGGAAGGCTCCATCATGGTTGCAGTCATATGTAACAGACAGCACACCGAAGGAACCACCTAAGCCATCAATGCCAAAATTTCCAACACTTGTTCCTCCAAGCAAAAGGAAGGTAGAACCTTCTCTGCAAAAGGAAAAATCTGTTGCAAAAAATCCCACTACTTTGAGACGGCAGTCAACTCTAAAACTTGTTGAAGATCTTCCCCCTTCAAAAAACAAAGCTTCACAAAAAACATTGTCACACTCTCCATCTTTGTCAAAGAAAGCCACTGAAATTTTAACTGACTCTGATATCGATTCCAATTCCAAGGTAGTTGAAATGCCTTCCGTTAAAACACAAAGAACTGGAACCGAACAAGTCAACAAACTATCAACTCTAACGTCGTCGTCATCATCCTCACAATCTGCGTCCTCACCAAATCAAGCCTTGTCCAAATCATTACCAAAAATATCATCAAAAAGTAGCCTTACATCAGAGTCCACTAATCATGTTTGCAGCACTGATCCCAAAGAGTTGGGCAGCTCAGATGTTTTGGAGATTTGTGACATAGACCATAGTGCACCAAATTCTTTAGATAAAGTCAGCCCAAATCCAGCAACTGCAACAGAAAGTCTTTCTACGACAGAACTAGGAAAGCCTACAATGCTAGAAGTAGTTATTTGCATCAGCACATCAGGGGCCATGAGAGATTATTTGGAAGTATTACAAGACAAGACACGAGAGATGGTTTGGCGGCTTCAGTCTCTCATTTCTAATTTGCGTATTGGTATATTTGCTCACACCCAGGGTGGTATCCATGATGACAAAACAGGCAGTCGTAATAGTGCCAGTGACCACAACTACATACGCACTGGGGGTCATAGTGGAACCAAATGGCTTGATCTGGGGGCAACTTATTCTCAGATCTGTGCTTTTGTAGGAAGTCTGGGTAATCACTTAAAGAACAAAAATAGACGTAATACAATTTTTCTAATTTTGTTAGCTGTTTATTTATTTAGTTTCTTTATGACTTGATTTTCAAATTTCCATTTGTTTTTTTAATTTGGATTATTTGTTTTATTAATGAAGTAATACTAAATATGTGCATATTATTAATGAATAAATAAAAATTGCTTAACCTTTTAAAAATAGCTCTTTGGGCTCATCAGCTTAAAGAAACTTGAATTTTTTTGGTGTTGCTTTATTTTATATAATAATAATAAGACGTCTTATATAGCGTGGTACCCCAGCCTAGGGCTAGGCTCACCGTGCTGTACATACAAATTTTATCAAAAGAGACATAATCATGACATTAAAACAAAATACATTTATGAATATATTAATATAAATATTGAAGCTATTTTAGTTTGTTGTATGCTTTACTTTATGCTTCATTGATTGATTTTTAAAAAAGGTACACATTTGAGTTTAGTAGCACTTGATTTAAATGTTCCACAGAACCCGAGGCTACAGTTTATCCAGATTACGTCCAAGATAATGTGGAGATGGCACTATGGAAACTGCAGCGATGCATGACTTGGAGCTCATGCAGCTATCGCACAGTTATAATATTGGGGCGTGGGAGACCGAACAGAACTAGCTTTTATCTGCAGCGGGAACATTGGAGAGGGTGGATTAGATCAGCGCTGGAGATTTCTAACAAGACAGAGATTCCTGTTATCGACTGGGAGCTGGAGGCCAAACTTTTAGCTCAAATGGTGGGAAAACTTAACATTTAATGAGATAAACATACTATTTTTAAATACGGTGACGTTGAGAACTATTATTTGGTTACAGTCAAGCCAGCATTATAAAATTAATAGTAATCTAATTTTATTTTGGCCAAAAAATTGTTAGAAATAATAGTTTTAACATGGATCTAAAAAAAAATCATAAGATTCAGAAGCTAATAAATTGTTTGTTGCAAATTACCAACCAATTCTTTGTCATATTCATCAACATATCTTAAACTTAATCTATATGAATAAATTGTTTTTCGTTAGGGCATCCATGTATTCACCATACAAGCTGTACCACAGACTACCACTGGGGAGGAGGATGAAGATGAAGGTACCTTGTTCTTCAGGCGTGTGGCTGAAATAACCAATGGTCAGCACATCAGAATTAGTGATGCCTCAAAACTAATTGACATACTAGTGGGAGTATGCTGTGCTTGTTATGGGCCAGACTTACTACAGGTGACAATACTTTAATTACCAAGTTTTAAAAATTATAATCATTTTGTATTTTGGTGCAAGAGTGAAAGACCATATAAGCTACTAAGTCTTATAATGTCTATAAACATTTAAATAATTAAGTTGGTGACATAGCTCAAATGATACTCATAAAATTTTCATTGAGGTTTCATTTATATATATATGAAAAGTAAACAGGTTCAAGTTGAATGGGATATTATGAATTTTTTGTATATGAAAAGCCAGTTTGATTTTCTTTATGTTCAATTGGCACAGTATACATTTAACATTATCTCTATATTTAAATTTTCAGGAGCATCGTGATACACTGAGAGATGAGAATGATGGTGTCGTCCCCCAACAACTGCGGGACATCTTTATCTCCTTACAACTCCACAGCAAGAGGAGGTCCCTCTGCACCCTACCATCAGTTGTTGGTGACCTTAGTATTATACAACGTCAGCTGGCTAGTGCTGAAGCTAACGGTAATGCAAGTGGTTCAGAGGAAGATGGGGAGACTTCAGAAGATGATGAGAAAGATGAGGAACCTAAACAAGATTCCCAGCAAGCAGGCAGTTCATCAGGTGATAATTTAAAACCAGAGAAATTGAAAGCTAAAAGGGGGAGACCTAGAAAAAATATTTTACTTGGAAAAGGTCTAACAAATGTGAAAGCAAAAACATCGGATAAAAAAGCATTGGTGAAAAAGGCTACACAGATTGTAGCAAAACTCAAAGGGGCAGGCAGAAAGAATGTTGGGAAAAAGGCCTTGGATAGCTCTTTGAAAGTGGCGGGGATCGTTCGACCCAGGGGAAGACCTAAGAAATTGAAAACTGAGGGCGAGGGAGACAAAATAGAGCAATCTAATAAACAGAATAAAAACATACAGAAGAAAGAAGGGGTGCAGAAAAAAAATCTTTCCATTAAAAAGAAAATAACTGCACTTAATAATAAGAAACTTAAAACAATAAATGGGGATGTGAAAAAAGTTGCTAAAGCTCTTCTTAAATCTAGCAAAACTCCAAAGAAGACCAATATCTTAGATACACCTGGTAAGCTAAAAGCTAAGCAAGACACCAAGGGTGCAAACAAAATAAAAAAGGCTAAAATTAAAGCTACTACTACTACAAAAAAAATTGTAAAAGGGAAAGCTGGGAAAGTTGTTGTTCAAAAGTCAGTCAAAAGTGGGAGAAAATTAAAAGTTAAATAACTTATGCCCCTGTGCCTGAATGCATTATTTGCACTATTGAAATGCTTACTTATCTATTTATTTTAAATAGTTTATAAAGACAATGTGATACTGTGAAATTTATATGTGTAAAAAAACAAAACATTGTCCATTTTTGTTTTTTATCAAAGTTGTTTATTTTCACCTTTATGGAATTAAATGTTTAAAATTAAACATGAATAATATATTGATCTAACTAATATATTTTAATGATTTTTGTAAAGGATATTTATTTAATGCGTCTGAGTCATTAATTTTTTTTTTGTATTGGTATTTAAAAGGAGGCCTGGTGTTGGTATTTTACAGCTTTAAACTCTCCTGGCATTGGTTTTAAAAAAAAATGTGTTTTAAAGAATTCAGATTCAATAAATGTTAAAATATCAGAAGAGAGTAGATGGCTTGCTTCGGTCTATTTTTTGTTTTTCATTTGGAAAAACACATTGACGATCTAATGTATGGGGGTAATTAAAATGTATGGGTTGCAAATCTTCTGCCTTTGTTAGGGTAGAGTCCTCTATGCATGCTCTCCTTCCATCCCTTTGTATCTTTTTTGTGGATTGTTGTATGTTTGTTTTAAAGGTAAGATCTTGATGTTGGCTGTTTGAAAGCCTCAAGATCGTAGGCAGCAACATTCCTCACTACATCACTAGTAACACACCACATGTTTGTGTCAAAATATAATTTTTTAAAATATTTATTTATCTCAATTAAATTTCAAAATTTTGTATGCATAAAATTAAGAAATTTTTTTCCGATATTGAGAGCAGTGCTAATGTTTAAATTTTTCTCAACATTTTATCTTAGAAAGTATCTTTAAAAAATAAATATCAATTTAATTCGGTTGCAAGATCATAAAAAGGTTTAAATTGAGTAATAGTAATATAAATGAATATAATGTAATATAAATCCCTTTACCTACAAAACAAAACAAGAAGGTCCTCCCTTGTAGCCCTACCTCCAATAATATTTTATAGCCCTACCTCCAAATAATATGTCAATGACAACCCACACAAATATTAACTGTATTATGGAAATGTTGCTAATTAAAATGTAAGCTTTTCACAATTTGTACTATCAATTTTATGAGCTTATCGGTTTGAGTGACTTACATCTCTCTTATTTATATGCGTTTTTTGTTTACTATAAGAAATCAGTATAACTGATATGATTATACATCATACAATGAATATATATTTATAACTATATCTAAAATTAAAAAATCAACTTATTAAATCTTGTTTTTATAAACCAATTACAGGGCTTGAAAGTGAATTATTTGTATATCTTAGTTGATCAAGCTTGACTTAAAAGGTGTTTCAACTAGTATTTTCTAGGTTTGATTTGTGGCTTATCAGAAGAGAGTAGTTGGATGAACAGATTAAGGTGCCAAGTGTATGTGAATTTTAAATAATATTTGTCTTCAATACCTGAGATGCTTGACCAACTCATACATTAAATCCTATTTCTTTTACTGAAGTGTAATTTTGAAGTCATCACTAAAGAACATTTCACATTAATTCAGCTGAAAATTAAATATTCTCACGATCCTCAACTATACCATATTTCTTATCATTATACTTCAAATTAATGTTATATAGTTCTCAAGTGTAAAATAAATTTTTTTTTAAAGGTATTGATATCAGTATCAGTTGCTTATTATTTTTAACTGAGTTGATTGATCACCACATTTGCTTAACCACAATCAGTTATCAATTGTGAGTAGTGATAATACATTTTTCTAGTACAAAGGTCTTGTAATAGGTTGTAGTAAAATCAGAGTTTGGTAGAGGCTCACTAATAGATATTCATTATTTAAATAGATTAAACAAGGCCTGCACAACTCAAAAATGTAAGGCGGGTTGTAACACTATATGAAAAACTTGTGCGGGCCGTAATATGTTAGGAAAAACTTGTGCGGGCCGTTAATATGTTAGGAAAAACTTGTTCGGGCCGAAAGATAATAGGACCGGGGAGAAAGCTATTTAGAAAATAATAAAGAATATTTCATTACTTCGCGGGACGCCAAATTGATGCTGGTGGCCCATATGTTGTGCAGGCCTGTATTAAACTATTCTTGATAATTTATGATTTTCCTAGCACTGAACTTTTTTTTTAAGGTTTCCTCTGGAGTTAAGACATGTTGATGTAGTGAGTTAATGAAAAATGAAGAATATTGTGATTTTTCTTCTTTTCTTCTTTGTATTGTGCCATATTGCAGTAATGGGAGTATAGCCTTGTATAAAACAAGGGGAGGAAGATCCCAACAACCAATGCTTTGTGCCAACATATATATCTCAAAATAGTAGTTCAGAAAATCACTTGTCATACCTCACACTCATAGCAGTTAAACAATTTTGATTTATAGAAATTGATCAGGCTTTTAAAAAAAGTAGTCCAATGTTAAAATTCTTAATTTACATATGAAGAGTTTATTTTCAAAACGCAGTATCCACCACTTTTGAAAAAAACGAAAAAACTTTACCTTTTTGTAGAGCAAACCAGGTTCCTTTAGGACATGGTAAAATTTTATTTACAAAACATGTTATATATTCCTATTTTATTCTTGTCTAAAAATTATTTAAGTCTCCAAACACAGTATGTAATTTTTTGTAAAAAGTTGAATAATCTCAAAACCCCCAAAATGGATATACAGCATTTTGAAAATCAGCTCTTCATATGCTCCTAATCAAACCCTGAACATTGTAAGTTGAAAAACATGATCTGTGATCTTAGAAAGTAAAAAGTAGTTTTCTTGTCGGATGACACAATAACAAAGTTCCATTTGCTAATTACTAATAGTCTAATAGCAAGAATGTTGTAAGTTTTCTCCAAAATAACTATTTATATTTTGCTTGGGACAAAGCATTTTCAAGTCAGACTAGAGCAGATGAATTTCTTGTGTTTTAAGACCTAGGATGCTTTTCATGTTTAGAAACAGTAGATGCAAAAAAAAAAATGTAAGCGCAATCAAGATATTATTGTTTTTTAATTGGCTCATTTTATTATACAGTGTCTGCTGTAAATATGTACATCTGAGCCCAAATTACTAGGAGCTGTTGTTTGCTATAAATATGATATAGCTTTTTTATGAAAACTTATTTTACCTTAATTGACCTAAATGGTCTTTCTTAATTTTTCCTTTATCAAACATTAATAATGTTTTTTTTCAGTATATTACTCTATAATCACATTTTATGTTCGTTTAAAAAGGAAGAAAGACTGTTGTGCTTCTCCTTACAATCACTAAAGCTTTGGTTATGTATTTATTTAAAAAATTTTTGTCCTTTGCGTTGATTAAATGTTCTGACTTGGCAGTATTTATAAATTAAATATTTATTTAATGAAGGTCATTAACTTCTTTAATGAATCCCTTTAAATTTTAAAGCTTTTGTGTAATTGTAAAGCTTATGTGTATTTTGTAAAGAAAAGCACAGGCATGCTTTTAATTGTGTTTCACGCAATTATGTATACTTTTTTTATTTCCTTACCATTGATAAAAACAGAGGTTCTTGTTAACATTAATGACTTAACTTTACTACATGTCTACCATTTTAGATTTTTTTTGTAAACAGAAAATATTTCAATGACCCAATTAATCTATATGTGCTTTTCCCCCCATTCAGTGGCAGCTATGAGCAAACCAGGAGATTAAAATGCTTTGATTTTTTTAAGTTGTTTATTTTATTAATTTTAAATTGTATATTCTTTAGTTTTTTGGTGATACCTGCCCAAGCTTTTATTAGCAAATATCTGCTTTGGACCACAGTCATCCTTACATTCTGTTATTTAATTTGCATGACAAATTCATTTAAATAAGAATTAGTATTGGCTTGATAATTATTCAGCTGAAATATCTTCTTTCAATTAGTAAACAATTTCCAAACCCCCTTCTTTTTGTCATATACAGGTGAATGTATATCATCCACTCATTAAAAATTATATTTATTCACCCATCTTTCATTTGAAATTGTAAAAATATGCATGCAGTGTGTAAGTTCGGTGTGTAAAAAATGTTAAATCGCTAAAGACTGAATGAGTATTGAACTGCACTAGATTTTCAAACTTTAAAAAAATATTTATTTCTTAAACACTGGTTAAAGTCTGTTGATATTGTCTTTTATCATGTCTTTATTTTAAGAGCTGATTTACAATAATTTGATTGGCATATATCATTGGATCATACATGGATTGTAATGGTTTTTCTTTGTTTCGTTTCATTACCACAATCATAAATAAATGTGTTACAAATACTGTCAATTTCTGGTATATAATATAATAAATTATCCTATTAAAAATGTTCTCTTTATATTAATTTCGATCAACTTTGCAAAGCTCTGCTTAAATCCTCTCATAATTAAATTAAAAGCACATGCCTTTTAACCTGCTTTAAAAGTACAGAGATCAAACCATACCATTCTATAACTGACAAGGACTCAGAACTGAACATCAAACAGTCAAGTCTTCAGATTGAAAGGTGTAGCTAGCATAACACACACATAATGACTATGATACTCTTTCTCACATTTTTATTAACTTTTTTTTTTCTTTACAAATTTTGAAGGTTTAATATGCAATAACAGTTGCAAATTTCTTCCAGTCAACATGTATGAAGCATTTATATAATATTAAAAATTGCATGGGATTTATATGGTCAAATGAGCAACCAAGTGTTCAAAATTGTGAAGCAATTTAAACTAAGTGCACATATTGAAAATGAAATTCACTTTATTCAGTTAAAGTTAAAGGATTTTTAATTATAATTAGTCAATTCAAGATTACAAATTTGGATTGAATTACTTTTTTTAAACATATTTAAAAAAAAAAAAAATCTCAGAAATATACCAATCAGACAAGGCACACATTGCAGTTATCATGTGTTTTTTCTAACCATGCTGTCACAACAACCAAAAAAAAAATTATCTTGAAATTGAACCTATACATTTAAAATGTTGCTCAAAATGTTTTCTAATTAAAAACAAACTAAAAACCCATTTTGGAAATAGAAGTATTTTTTATAGAATATATACATCTTTATTTTTATTCAAGTTATATTTTTAAACCCTTACAACTACCCTTA